TGCTGGCTGGGGAATTCTGGGAGTTGAAGTCCACACGTCTTCAAGCTGCCAAGGTTGAGAAGCACTGTCCTAGACCAAGCTTCTCCTTTGCAGCTGAGCAGTTCTGCTTCTCAGAGAGAAGCTAGGTCTAAGAATGGTTTATAAGCAAAGAACACAGGAAGCACAAAGAAACTCTAATTTGGGGCATATCAGGGTGGGGTTCAGTACAGACTCTGTGGCTTGATTCCTATAAAGAATAGAGAGCTTCCTGTCTACCCTCTGGTTGACTGAGTATGGCCCAGACGATTAAGTTTGACAGAGTCCAGATTTCCATGAGGCAAACCGACAGACGTTCTCAGAACAAAAGAGCCCATGGGAACCATCCCATAATGCTCTAACTGATTGCTCTATCTGGACATGGGAAGGCTGCTCCGAGGCTCTAGTCTTGTGGGTTGATTGACTAGGGTGTGTTGGGATGGCATTTGCTGGCAGTTGCCGCTGTTGTATTGATTAATTAATCGCATTGCACCCACTGCAACTGCAAGGCTCTAGGTGGTTGATGGTAATAAAGATAAGGAAAAACTAAAATAAAATATCCACGCTAAAATGAAAATCAGTTACATAATCATCAAACCATAGTTGCAGGCATTCAGTGTAGGCATCATCCTTCGTTGTAGGTCTTCAGGACAACTCCATTGTCAGTAGATTTCCAAAAGCCAAAATGCTGGGGGCCTGTGCTTGCTTGTGGCAGGAGGCTCTCCCATAGTGTAGGTTCTGCCACAGAAAAGCAACACCCACAGGCCTTCAAGCTATGTGTCTCGTGGAAATGGGGGATCACCAGCAGTTTCTCTCTGGACATATAGATTGAACAGGTCAGTTCCAGCTGGAGGAGGCAGTCCTGGACATACCTTGATAATAACCATCATCTTGAATTGCTTTGGAAACTAACCAGAAGCCAATGTTTTCCTACTTGTGTGAGAATCATTTCTGTTGATTAAATTACCCTGAAGAACACACAGGTCGTGAGCATCTGGAATAGTAAATGTGGCTAACTTAGCACACTCTCATCAGAATTTCTCCTCTTCTAGTCCCCCTGAGTCCCTTGCCCAGGCAGGCTTTTCCAGAAGAAAAGTAAGATGCTAGGTGGGCAGTTCAAAGAAAGATACACATGTAATTGCCATCATGGTGAACTTCTGAGTAACAGGTTACTGTTTTAAAAGTAATCAAGGAGTGTCTATAACCAGAAAGCACAGCTGGGCATGTGTCCAGCCACCATGCAGAAAAGATCAATGTTACCATCCCTCTGGGTACATAATGCTGTCAGATACTGCATTACTTGAATTATTGGACAATCTGATTAGTTGATAACTATCTTCTAAAGCCTCAGGCCAAGATTTTTCCTGGCCTTAGTGCTTGCAGTCTGGAGCCTGAGGCCTTCCACATCTAGAACATGAGCTTGTTGCTGTCCCTCTTACCCGTATTCCAAAGTGGATGAATCATAGCTTGGTGACAGAGTTTTGGAAGAAACCATAGCTCAGTGGCAGAGCATGTATTCTGCACGTGAAAGGCCCCAGAATCAATGCTTGGCAAATCCAGTCGAAAGGCACTGGTAGCAGGTGAGGACCAAGTCCTCTGCCTCACCTGTTGCAGAGTGGGCAGTGTCAAGCTGGGCAGATCAACTTGTGGGCCTGGAATGCAGCTTCCTGGATTCCTCTGAGGAGCAGAGCCGGGGCATTAGATGGCCTGCAGGTAGCTATCCTGGTCCCACAGCCCCATCGTTACGGGAGCCATATGGATGGCTAAATGGTTTTTAACAGTCAAATGCATGGTCCAGGGTACCTCGCTTATGGGCAGAGGCTCCTTATCTGGGGATTGTGTACATCTCTTTCATTCATAGGGGTTTTCTGTTTTCAATGAAGCAGATCCTCTCTCCTATTTGACACTGAATCCAAGGTGGTTTGGAACTCCAGGAATAAAGCCTCACGGGGACAAGCTGTTTCTTTGCCTTTATCATGTTCAGATGCATCAGTGACTAGTTGTCTAACTTAAAATGCTCCTTGATAACTTTAAAAGTTATCTTTTTAACTTTTTAACTTGATAACCAAGACACTCCTTGATAACTTTAAAAGTTATCAAGGAGTGCCTATAGCCAGAAAGCACAGTTGGGCATGTGTTTTCTTCCATTTCTTACCTTACATGCTTGCAAAGAAATAACAGTTGTCAACATATTCCTTTCTTATTGTCTTTGTACAGCCATGTAGAGCTTCCTTTCTTCTGGCAGATAATGAAGCCCAACTTGCAGCCACTAACACTGGAAGGAAAAATGGACATTACAAAGATAAAGTACAACCTGGATACAGAGACAGCTTTCTCTATCATTCCTAATGCGGGGACTCTGCAGCCCCATTCTGATCATCCGTTCACCCTCTGTTTCTGTCCGAAACAGGTACCGGCTCCTCCCAGCCCTTTTTAAAAGACCACGCACCAACGTTTTGCAAAGTGGTTGAATGAACTTGAATTAAAATGCAAAACATGTGTACATATACAGATGATCATTCTGTTCCAAGCAGTCTCCACATCCTCTTTCCTTATGCTTGTCTTTTATTCATTCTGCTGGAAGGCTTCATTTGTCTGCTAATACTTTTGCATAACGAACCCGTCCAAGAGCCAGGTCCTTTCAGGAACACTTCCAGTTAAGCCTGGCATGGCGGTTCAATTTCAAGGCTTCACACTCTCTAGGTCCAGCACTCTATCAGCCCATTTTAAAAAAGGGGGGGAAAAGTGATTACAGAAGCCGGTGTTCTAGTCTCCCTCACAGCCAAAACAGGCCGGAGGGGTGGGCAAAGAGGTCAGGGAGCAGACTGAAGGAAATAGAGCAGAAACAGCAGAAGTCACAAGATTGCTGGCACAGAGCGTGTCATTTCAGGCCACCTCCCTGAGGCACATCGGTGCACCCTACATGGCCTGCACACAATGTGGTGAGGCAGGATATTAGGGAAAACACCGGTGGAACTACCGGTGGAAGCATGTGGATAGGTGCTCAAGGAATGATTAATGGGTGCTGTGTGGATTTACCCCCAGTCTTAAATCACAGCTTCAGAAATACTTCAACCATAATAAACATTTACTGCTCTGTCTCTTTGATGAGTACCATCAAAGCAAGCAATACATTATTTTGAAAGTTCTTTTTGTATATAAATTATCCACAATCTTTTCCCCCTTACAGCTAAAGAAGTATCATAGTGTGCTTCACATAGTGCTGGAGGATATCCCAGAATTACCTTGGTAAGTTTTCATGATGGACATATGATCTGGAACGTTGGAGGGATGAATATCCCTTTTGATGTTCCTGACAGATGGGACTAGTCTTCAGGCTGCATGTGTGTCCCAGAATGCCGGCTAGATGGATCCTTGTGCTTGGGGCAACAACGATTTTCATATGTTCATTAGCCCAACTTCCCTAGTCAAATCAGCATCTCATAATTAAAATAAAAATGAAATAAAACCTATGCCATATTCTGACTACAGAACTTCACATTCATCTAGCTTGATACTTAAAACTGGTCAGAGGCTTGTTAATTAATCCATTTTCTGCACTCTTGGAGGACAGAGCCTCTGCATGTAAAGGAGAGAAAAAGGACCTTCTTAGCATGTTCTGTTCTCCTTCCTGCCTTTCCTTGAGCAGCTAGCCCCTTATTGTGACCCCTGAGAGCGAGACCAAGAATATGTCTTGCAGTTTAGTCCTGTTGTGTCTGCTTGGAAGACACTCCTAAAATGTTTAGTGGGGTTTATTCCCAATCAGGAATGCAAAGCTTAAGAAACAAGCATTTTTCTTGGGCAGTAGAAGAGAGGATGAGGCCAATCTGGATAGTAAACGTGTGGATTCTCAGCCTTTGAACTGGCTGTCTGCAAATATAATGGGGAAAGTGATCAGTATGATTCTATGTTGGCCAGGTTTAATTTGTTGTTTGAAAAGAGCCCCTTTTACATATCTGTTGTAATACATGTACATATTTTGCATGTTTCCTTTCTTTTTTATTTATTTTTGTTTGGGTACCTGTACATAGTTTTGTATTTTGTTGAAAGTTTTCTTTTTCTTTTTTCCCTCTCTTTCCTTTTTGGTATATTAGAGCAATAAAAATACATGGAAAAAGATCATATTTGGGGTGCAGTATTTTAGAGGTTGCTAGTGTTATCAGTGAAAAAACAATGCAAGTCCATTTTCTATGAAAGGAAAAATGCACTGGTGATGCTTCCTTATGCATACACTGCAAAGAGCAATTTTAAGCCTATTCTTTACACAGTGTTGAAAATTTTCAGCAATATGAAAATGGAGAAGGGCGAAAGGAAGATGTGATTACCCTAGAAATCGACACTAAAGGTCCCACAAAACCATTTCAGCTCCTGTTGGAACCCCGTGCTATTATCATTCCAGGAGAAAACTACATTGGCGTGAATGTTAGGAGGACATTTAAGGTACATTTTCTTCTGCCTCCACGTTCAGTGCAGTTTGGGGATTGAGTGTATTTCTTAATCCGTAAAAGAATGAGATCTATTTATTATATCATTCTGGAAAGCACATTTCAAGCCTTTATGCTTGGGAAGATAATTTGACAATAGCCCAAGTTTGTTTGTTTTTTCCTTCTGTACTTCTCATGCACTTTAAAATCTTATGTCAATCTAAACTTTAAATTCATGCTATCAAATTAAATTCTGGAGATCTAACACTAGTTCTCATGGGTTAAACAGACACAAAGATTTCTTGGTTGCAAGATTTATTGCATCACACCCAAGAACAGCTTTTTGAATAGTTACTATTCTCTATAGGTAATTTATTGCTGTTTGCGTCTTCTGCATTCATATCCTTCTGACCTCTCCTTTAACTGCTCTTTCCAGTCACTGGCATCTGCATAAGCTTATCTGAGGATAATACTCCATATCTAATGTAGTGGAGGGTAGACCACAATAGCTTATGCAAAATATTTATTTTGTTATTGCAACAGACAGTCATGGCTGTCTTGTGGGAAAATATGATGCAGCACTAGTTTTGCACATTTCAGTCAAATGAAATGAGGACTTTTATCCTGTATAATGGCATTAACTGCTCCTTCATTTTTGAAATTGTAGATGCATAATAACAGCAGCTCTGCTGTCACATTTAGATGGGAGAAAATCTTTGACTGCGACATAGTGGAAGTTGAACCTTCCACTGGAAAGTTAGGTAAAAGATCTTTTTATTGTTGGCTCTAGTCTTCTCTTATTACATTAAGTACTGGACCACTGTAAGAAAAAAAATGGTCAAGGGTCATTTGGGGGTACTGATTTTGGTTTTGGGAAAATAGTTGGTTTTTTAAAAAAAAAAATATATATATATTTTTCCAGATAAGAGTAACAGACTTGTCTTTTCTAGGTGCAGAAGGATGTCGTGAGTTTGAGTTTGGGATTACAGGAGGGAAACCTGGTCATTCCTGTCACAATCTAGAGTGTAAAATCACTCACTCTGAGGAGCCTGTCATTTTGCACATTGAGGCTGACTTTAAGGTAGGAATGTCTCCACCAGGCTTCCCCTCTCGGGTGAATTTTCACAAAATTCTGAGAGTGGTAGTCATGCTTATTGCGGGGGAAGGGAATGGATTATATAGCTGTATGCATTTGTAAGGGCACCTGATTTAAATATATGAAATGCCTTATTTTTGTACTGGTACTTAGTGGAATGGAGCTGTGGCACTTCATTGTAAAGGGAAAAAAGTGAGGAAACAGAAACAAGAGAGGCTGCCATTCCTGTGCTATTCTTCAAGCTTGTTAACATCTGGCTATTTCAGAAGACCTTCCGAGAACTATTATGGTTCTCTTTGGTCCTGATAGATGATTGAGTTGATGTCAGTGGATAGTGTTTGGGACAGATCATCCTGGAGAAAATCTATCTACTGCATGTGGTCACTAAGAGTTGACAACAATTTGATGGTACATAATCAGTCAACGTGTTTTAGGATATTTGTGCTGGTATTGTATTTTTAAAGTTTGTTTTTACTTTTACCTTTATTTACGTTGGTATTGTATTACTATTGGTCTTCCTGCACATAGCTTAGAGCCTTTTAGATTAAATTCGGAATTCAAAAAGCATGTGCCCATTCCGTTCCACAATATTCCAGAGTAGATTGTGTTGTCTTAAAAGGATTCCACAGTCCTCTCCAAGAATATGTGCTGGTGGGCATCTCTGGCCACCCCCCAAGACCTATGGCATGCCAAGAAATGGAGAGTAGGGTAAAACTCTGGGACAGAGTTGTCCACAGGGCATGGTCCAAAAAATGCAAGATGGTGGTGATGCACATAAAAAATGGGCAGAGCTTTGATTGTACCATGGTGGCCACCATCTTGACTTTTTTGACCACACCCTGCAGATAGCTCTGGGATAAAGCACATACTTCACATGCAGAAAGCCCCGGGTTCAGTTCTTGGAATCTGCAGAAATGGTTGGGAAAGATTTCTGGTTTTGGACGACAATGTAGCTGTTTGAGGGATAGTCCATGGTTGGGTCTTTTTGTCAGATCCAAACTCCCTGTTTTGGCATAATTTTTCCTAGGGGCCGACTCTTTCCA